ATTTGTGTTTGAGAAACCTCTGAAAACACTTCCTTATGAACACAAGGTATCTCACTAATAAAAAAATAAGCCTTTCCTAAGGTGTGCTGTCTTTTTCTCAGCCATTCACTTATTGCAGCTATTGGCAGCTCTCAGCCTTCAGAATTACTTTTGTTTTCAGTTAAGATGGATTTGATTTGGAAGATGAAAAGTCAAGTGCAGTTTATGCCCTATCACTGCAGCTTCTGAGAAACCTGGCATAGTGGAAGTTTGAATAGGGTGTTTAAGATGATCCTCTGGGAGAAGAAGGATGCATTGAGTAGTAGACTGGATTTTAAGTAGTAAATTTTTAGTAGTAGGTTTCAGTAGAGATTGTTATTACCCATTTCTTAAAGTTCCTCTCTGCTTTGCCTGTCTAGTACAAATACTGGGGTTTTTTTTTGACCTTTAAAGCTACTCTGTCTTAGCTGCTCTTGCTCTTTGGTTGTAGTTCAGCAATAAGCCAGCATCATTGGGTCCCAGCTGAAATGCCTCTACGCCAGTGCCTTTAGCATGGGGAGCAAGCAAGAGGAGTTAAGAGGCTGTGCATGCCTGAAGGTCTGTGACCTCATTGGCATCATGGAGATGTGGTGGGACTCCTCCTGTGACTGGAGTGCTGGAATGGAAGGACACATGTGCTTCATTAAGGACAGGCTGAGGAGGAGAGGAGGGGGTGTCACCTCTATGTCCGTGACCACCTGGAGTGCACAGAACTCTGCCTGGGGATGGATGAGGAGCTGACTGAGAGCTTATGGGTCAGATTAAAGGGAGGGCGGGACAGGGGACATTGCAGTGGGGGTATGCTCCAGGCCACCTGACCAGGATGACCATGAGACATGAGACAGATAGGTGCAGCCTCGTGTTCACAAGCCCTGGTCCTTATGGTGGGGCTTCAACCATCCTGATATCTGTTGGAGGGACAGCACAGCAGAGCACAAGCAATCCAGGAGGTTCCTGGAATACATTGACAGTAACTTCCTTCTCCAAGCAATAGAGGAACCAATAAGGAGTTGGGCTCTGCTGGACCTTGTCCTCACCAACAGGGAGGGGCTGGTAGGGAATGTGAAGCTCGAGGGCAATCTTGGCTGCAGTGACCACAGAATGATGGAGTTTGAGATCCTTAGGGTGGCGAGGAAGGTGTGCAGAGGGCTTGCTGCCCTGGACTTCAGGAGAGCAGGCTTTGGCCTCTTGAGGGATCTGCTTGGTGGAGTATCATGGGATAAAGCCATGGAGGGAAGAGGGGACCAAGTAAGCTGGTTAATGTTCAGGGATCACCTCCTCCAGGCTCAGGAGCAATGCATTCTGAAAAAGAGGAAGTCAGGCAAGAAATCTGGGAGGCCGGCGTGGATGAACAAGGAGCTCCTGAGCAAACTCCAGTATAAAAAGGAGGCCTACAGAGGGCGGAAGCAAGGGCAGGTAGCCTGGGAGGAATATAGAGCAGTCAGGAATCAGGCTGGGAAAGCTAAAGCCCTGGCAGAACTCAGCCTGACCGGGGACATTAAGGGCAACAAGGAAAACTTTTGTAGGTACACTGGGGATAAAAGGAAGACAAGGAAGAATATGGGCCCCATCCAGAAAGAAGTATAAGACCTGGTCACCCGGAACATGGAGAAAGCCGAGGCACTCAGTGACCTTTTTGCCTCAGTCTTCACTGGCAGGAGCTCCAGCCACACTGCCCAAGTCACAGGAGGCAATGGTAGGGACTGCCTTTGGAAGTGGGAGAATGAGGAACATACTGTAGGAGAAGATCAGATTCAAGATCATGTAAGGAACTTGAAGGTGCACAAGCCTGTGGGACCTGATGAGATGCATCCATGGGTCCTGAAGGAACTGGCAGGTGAAATGGCTGATCCATTATCCATCATATCTTAGCTATTATCCATCATATTGGAGAAGTTGCGTCAGTCTGGTGAATTTCCTCTGGGATTCTGGGTGAATTCTGGGACTGGAAAAAAGGAAATACAGCTCCCATTTTTAAAAAGGGAAAAGAGGAAGACCCAGGGAGCTGCAGGCCGCTCAGTCTCGCCTCAATGCACAGCAAGAACATGGAGCACATCCTCCTGGAAACTCTGCTAAGGAGCATGTACAATAAGGGGGTGATTGTTGCCAGCCAACGTGGTTTTGCTAAGGGAAAATTGTGCCTGACAAATCTGGTGGCCTTCTATGATGGGGCTGCAGCATTGGTGGATAAGGGAAGAGCAACTGACATCATCAGCCTGTGCTTGTGAAAAGCGTTTGACACTCCCAAATGACATCCTTGTCTCTAAGCTGGAGAGGCATGGATTTGGTGGATGGACCATCCGTGGTGAGTGGTGTTCCTCAGGGGTTGGTATTGGGACTGGCCCTATCTAATGTAAATGTCAGTGACATGGACAGTGGGATTGAGCACCCTCACCAGTTGCTGATGATACCAAGCTGTGTGGTGTGGTTGACACAATGGAGGGAAGGGATGGGATCCAGAGGGACTTGGACAGGCTTGAGAGGTGGAACAGCGCCAAGTGCAAGGTCCTGCCCCTGGGTCAGGGCAGTCCCAGGCACAAGCACAGGCTGGGCAGAGGCTGAATGGAGCAGCCCTTAGGAGGGGGACTTGGAGGCATTGGGTGAGAAGCTCCCCATAACCCAGCTTCAGTGTATGCTTGAGCCCAGAATCTCCCTGTGTGCTGGGCTGCACCCCTAGAGCGTGAGCAGCACTGGTCAAGGGAGGGGATTCTGCCCCTCTCCTGCGCTCTGGGGAGACCCCCCTACAGCCCTGATCCAGCTCTTGGGCAGCAGCACAAGAGGGACGTGGAGCTGCTGGAGTGAGTCGAGAGGAGGCCCTGGAGATGCTGCGAGGGCTGGAGCAGCTCTGCTCTGGAGCCAGGCTGAGAGAGCTGGGCTGGGTCAGCCTGGAGAAGAGAAGGCTCCTGAAGGGGAGACCTTAGAGCAGCTCCAGTGCCTAAAGGGGCTACAAGAAACCTGGAGAGAGGGGCTTTGGACAAGGGCCTGCAGGGACAGGCCAAGGGGAATGGCTTTAACCTGGCAGAGGGGAGATTGAGAGGAGCTCTTAGGCAGAAGCTCTTCCCTGTGAGGGTACTGAGGCGCTGGCACAGGGTGGCCAGAGAAGCTGTGGCTGCCCCATCCCTGGCAGTGTTCAAGGCCCTAGGGGAGTTGATTTAGGTGATCTTTAAGATCCCTTCCAACCTATTCTAGGTTTTTGTGGATGCAATATAGTGTATTTCAAACACCAGCAATACACCTGTTTTAGAAGTGCATCCATAACTAAAATATAAATAACTTGTATGAGACTTGCCAGTATTAACTTGTCATAAGTCAAGACTCCAGAAGGAAGTGACTGACAATAACTCTAGTTGTTTTCAAAGAAAGAGTTCCATGTTCTGTGCTTTTGTAACCTTGCAGGTGTTCCCTTTTGGCAGATACTCTGTAGGGGCCTTGCTGCAGCTTAAATCCAGCTGTTCTGCAGTATCTGGAAAGCTTTTCATGATCTGCAGTGTTTTTATGGATGTCAGTATTCCTTTACTTCTTATTTCTTATTCTTATTTCTTTCTGTTTCATATTACGTGGTCACTGAAAATATTTTGGAGCTATTCTGCCACTTCTTTTGTTGTCTGCTTTAGAAAAGCATTCTTAAGTATATAGGCTTGAATCTTAAACTAAGATTTGTCTGTCCTTATTAAATTACATGTGTGTTTCAGGATGCGTGATTATGGGGCAGGAGAAGAAATAGGTTAGATTCTGGCTGGAAATTAATGTTCATCCATATTGTTCATACCTTTTGAGGCTTAGAGTGTTTGCAGTTTCAATCTGATTCTGTGCTGCTTTATGGGGCTATGTCTCTTTTGGATATATTTTGGTAGTTGTCTTCCCTTCCTTTATAAGTCCTGGACTTCTCCAGGTAGGGGATTTCCTGAAGTACAAATTTTTATCATTAATGTTGATGAAGTGCATTGTGGGGTTTGTAGTGTTCTCTAATAAAGCTAATCTCTAGAGGAGTTATGCCAGAAGCCAGCTAGAGCTCCATCCCCCAGGAAGCCCAAGAGTAGCAGGCCAGAAACATTTTGGCCTTTGCTGTGAGTATTCTTTTGTATAATCCCAGACTGGTTAGGGTTGGAAAGGACCTTAAGATCATCCAGTTCCAACCCCCTGCCATGGGGGCTTTCTGACTTCTTCTATGTCACTGAAACACTTTGGCTGTTTCCTGTGTACATGCATGCTGTTACTCACAGTTTTATTTTGCAGTGTAGATGCTTATTCTGTCCTGACAAGGTAATAGCTGTTCTTTTTTTTTTTGTACTTTAGAAGCATAAAATGTGTCAACAAGCTGACCTTTCTTGAAGGCTAGAGACTAGGTCATGAGGCACCCAAGCTTTGGTTATGGAGTGCAGGAGAGAGTGTGCTGCTCAGCAAGGAGGATAATGTGTGAGCTCATTGGGAAAGAGTGGCTGTGTTCAGCTGTGACATCTTGAATCTACAAGTACAAAACAGCACTTATGGGGAAAACTGGAGACATTGGTTCACAGTCAAGTAGAAGACAACAGTATCAAAATAGTCAGTGATCATGTGGTTAAAGAAATGTGTTGCCAGAAGGAACTGATAAATAATCAGAAGCATCTTTGAGAATTGTTTATTCATGGCTTGTGCTCCTGTGGGAAGGGGAAAGCACCTTTGTCGGCCCTAGTTTAATGCATTAGCACGTCATACAAACTCCCAGTTGAGCCGGTTAGTGCCTTATCAGTATGCTTTCAAGTGAAACTGTGTTCCCTGCAGGTGTGAGATTTTATGACAATGCAGTTATTCTGCTCAATAGAAAACATGGATAGGCTGAATGGGTATGAAATGTAATGGCTTTTACTCCTTTCAATAGGTTCTTGGATTGGATTTATTTTGTTTTTAAATAATATGGTGACCAATGCTTGAAGCAAAGGACTAAAATTCAAGCAAAACAGATGTCACTGTTACAGCATTCTGTCACTGGCTCATGCTGATGTTGTCATCAGTAATACAGCTTGAAACGTAAAGCGGTACACATACAGGGAGAGAGTTTGACATTTAGCCTCACTTTCTGTCTTTTGGAGGCAATAATTGTTCCTACCTCTTGCAAAGCAGCTTCAGGTTCTCAGGTATCATGTGCACGATGACGCCTGTTGTTGCTTAACCAGGTGGAATTGCGCATCCTGTGCATAGAGCAGGGCAGTGTTGCTGCTGTGAGAGAAGAGGGAAGTGAAGGGTTCTGTCTGCTGAGAGGTAGTTCTGCTGATGGGATGAGCAAGCTCCAAACGGGCAGGAAACCCTCGTGGTTGCTTTTAAGCTTGGAGTTTAGGAAGAGCTGAGAACTGGACAGCCTTGAGAACCGGGCCCTTGCCAGTGAGAAAATGGTTTCTTATTCCTGATGGCACTTCTGAGCTCTGAGTTGTGTTCCTCAGCTTTCATTCTGAGTATGGTGAGTGTAATTTCTTTCCTGAGTGTCCTGAAGCAGTTTCTTTCTCCTCAAGTTTGTTAAGGCAATGGGTACTTCTTTCAGTGTTTGTTTGGTGAGGAAGCATTGCCTGTCTGAAGGGGTTTGCGTGGTTCAGTTTCCTTGCTTCGGCTTACCCATGTAGGTGCTCTTACATCTATTTGTAGTTGTTACCTAATGAATAAGTGCTCTGGAGATTGTAGAGAAGGGAAAAACATTTCAAAATAGAGTACGAGTGTTCAAGCAGACACTTTTGTAGTACTTGAAGTGGTGAAGGAAATGAAGCATGTGTGCAGAGCAAATGAAGGTTTTCCTGTGAATCACTAACCATCTTTTCACAGCTCTCGGAAGAGTGGGGAGCTTGCTCCCTTTATTTCTTGCCACCAATGACGTTTTACCAGGGCTGTGAAATTTGTTGTATGTGCTGGTAGATTTGGGAGTTCCTGTTCAAATAACTCTGATTTACTTTATTCAGAACTGAAGTTCTTGTTTCTTCCAGAAAGTGCAGATGTTATGCTCGTGTGAAGATTGAGTGTAACTTCAGTGTGATGTGGGTGATAGAATGGAAGTTTTTCAGGTGTAGCGAGACCTATTGATTAATGAAGAAACGTAATGATTGTGAATAATGTGAATTCACATGACTGGGGTTGCAGGAACACATCCTGAGGGTTTCACAGGTTTAGGCATGTTGCCTAGAGGCACAGAAGGTTTCCTAGCTGTCATCATCATGACTGAGCAGCATTCAGCAAGAGAATAGGTATTCAGGAAAGGTGGTCAGTGGGAAAGCAGAGGGAAGATGAAAATACTCCACCTTAGAAGCAGAAGGGCCTAGAGAAGAAAAAGAAAGAGCTTTTCTGGGGTAATATTTTCAACCTGCATTGGTCTTTGAATGTAGAGTTAGTGGGAGATGCGACAGTTGAGATGGCTTTGGGGCCACAGAGTCTACATGTGCTGTTAATGCCTTTGTGTTGTTAGAGATTAAGAATTATCCTGAGTTATGTGTAGTTTAACACAGACAGTTCTGTACTTCAGGAGTAAAAAGAGTGTTTCTTGATTACGTTTTGTCTCTTGTTAGGAATTCAGATGTAATTTTTAGGGTGAGGTATTTGTAATGAATAAATTTGGGATGGAGGGAGCAATGACAGATGAACTTCACGCATACAGATTTCAGCAAGGTGCTCTGAAGAATAACAACACGATTTGGCTACAAGGTCTGTACCAGGTGGTAAAGTACTTGAAGATGCTTTTTGTCTTTCTTTTCATTATCTGTTAATTAATAGTTTGTTTTAGGGTGTGCTGTATTCTGTTAGGTACCTATTTGTAGCAACAAGATTATTGATTAATCATGAGTAGTTGTATACAAATTTACTTCCTAACCAAATGACTTTCTAAAAGGGGAAGAGGAATGTACTGGCTCACTGAAGAAAACCTTTACTTCAGTTAATTCTGGTGTTTGGATACACAGCAGTGCTTCTAAAAAACGTGATGAAGTTTTAGAAACCACTCCTCTAAGTACCTCTTCCTTTATTCCTAGCTTTTATAACTGTAGTGAAACTGGGTTACCACTGACATATCAAGTATGTTTATGCACAAATATATTAGACTTCCTTCCCCTCTGTTACCTTATATATTACTCAGCTGCATGTCACCCCGATCTTGCAAACCCCTAGTATCTTCATTGTAGAGATGGTGCACAGCTGCATGGACAAACGAATCCATTTGCTAATGTTCACCAGAGGTCTGTGATAAGGCAGGGAGCTTTTGATGGTTCCAAGATCCAAATGTAGCTGAAATGGTTTGTGTCTTAGCTCCCTTCTATCTGATTTTGTGTATATCCTCACTACAAAGCAGGCAGTGGCAAACTTGTGAGTGGTAATGAAATGAGAGAACTTCAAAGCCCACGGATGGATTTAGCAGGTGGAATCTGAAAGTAAAGCCCCTGTTCCCAGTCTGTCACTTCCTTACTGTTAACACTGCCTGGCACAACTTGTGTTGCTTCGAGTTGTTGGAGCAAATGCTGTTGCAGCCACATCGTTCTGTATGTGGCGGTTCCTCAAGTTACACACTTTTCAGTGTAGTGGAGCTGATGGATGTCATGTGGGTGATAACAGGATAGACTTGCTTGTAAGCTCCCAGTAGCGTTGCCTTCCTTAATCTGGCCAGTCTTCTGATGTGGTGAGAACTGGCTGGATTCATGTTACTCCTGTAGCTTTTACTAACCCCATCGGCTACTAGCACTTGTGAAAAATGGGAATTTTGATGCTTCTGCAGAAATGGGGCTGGGCCATTTATGCTAATGTTGAGCTGCTTTAGACTTTTTTGAGGGGAAGAATATAGCTTTTTTCTGTCCATAGTTTAGCAGAACAGGAATCTTTTTCAGGCCCTCTCCAAATTGTGATAGTTTTCAGACTACCTAAGAGAAGCTCTGAAGAGTTCGACATCACAGATGCCCCGTTGTCACCTAACTAAGGTATCGTGTAAAATACAGTTGAGCAGTACCAGCTCAAATGTGAATAGTATCCTGCAAATACTTGAAGAACTACTTGATGTAATGCATCTGTTGGCTTTTCCTGATAACTTTAGCTTCTCAAACTCACTTTTTCCTCCGTAAAGTGAATTTGCTTCAAAGAATGTGTGTTACAGATGATAAGTATTACTTTTGCTGGGTTAGCATTTGGAAAGGACGCTCATATCTCTGTGCAATGCAGGTGCTGATTCCATCCTGAACATGCAAAATGTTTTTGATGAACCATAATATAATGTTTGATAGACAATGGGGATAAAATCATCTCTCAGCTGTCTGAATGTGCGTGTCTGAGGGGGAAGGGAGGAGAACATAGTGTTTCAAAGAGAAAAGGAGGGTGTGTGTATCCTGGGGAGTATCATATTAATCTGAAGGAGCAAGATGCATTCTTTGAGCTTGACTTTTTGCTCTGGGAGGGACTGGGGGGACACAGAGTGTGTGTGTGGTGGGGGGGAGGTGGTGAGCATTCCTGGAGGGGATTAATTTTGAGGTGACTCAGACAGACACTTTGATCCTTTCCATCTGCAGGTTGGCTTGTTTTAGCTTGTTAATATATGGATAGCAAATTCCCTTCTTCCTTTTATGTTTGGAAAATTGCTCATAGCCCACACATGGCTCTGTAATTGGGGAGACATTGTTCATTCTTGCCTGCAGGAAGACATTTCTCTGTCTGCTGAGCTGGAGTTCCAGACTAGATAGAGGGAATGCAAGAAAAACAGTGATGGGAAGCAGGGCTGCACATCTCTTCTTTGAGCTATGATTCCTGAAGAAATCGCCACTGATCTGTGTTGCATCCAGAACACCATGTATTCTTCAGGATGGGGAAGTAAAATTGCTCAGTAGTGCTCACAGCCCTCCTTTTGCCTCAAGATACAATGGGGTGGATGCCTGTAGGACATGGATACTGTGGAGAAACTTCAGTGAGTTTAGGAATAAAGTTTTCTTCATCGGTAACGTGTAAGAATTAAATGCTCTCCTCATCAGATTTTCTTCTTTATTTCAACTTCAGGCATCTTAAATACAAGTAGGAATGATTAATATATGTTTAAGTGACTTGAAATTAGACAAGGGTTTGGTGATATCAAATACGCTCTGTTTCTCAACCAAACTTCTTCAGGATTGTTAAACTTGTGTTCTGTTGAACTCGCATTGCCCTGCCTCCTCTCGAATTTTAAGTCAACTTTCCAAAAGCAGCAGGATTTTCTTCATGCTGGATTTTATCAGGATTCTGCCTGGGTGCTTGTCCTTCAGGTAAGATAGCACTGGTCAGGTTGCAGAGAGATTTGATCTCCTGCCTCTTCCCCCACTCCAGAAGATGCTGTGAAAATGTTTGGGTGTATGAGTACCATTTGGAACTTTTTCATTTCTGTGACCATTTTATTCCTTATTGAAGATAGAAAACAGCAGCATGTAGTAGCCATTGAGTCCTGGCATAGGCTTACGGTATTTATTTAGTGTTTTTTTTTCCCTGTGTTGCTTGTATGTCTACATTTAAGGATTTTAGGGGCTTGCTTTGGCTTGGAGCATTGCAATTCTCTGTCAATATTTTAAGGTTTCAGAGGATTTTGTTCATAAATGTGATTGACCGAGGGGTCTGGATGAATAATTGCAGCCTGTCCTCAATTTTTATTAGATGCATAGCACTTCACTGTGACTCTGTGATTTTCCCTGCACATGGCAGAGGGTTGGAACTAGATGATCTGAAGTTCTTTTCCAACCCAAACCCTTCTGTGATTCTATTATTCCCTTATCTTTGTGCTTTTGTAGTTGGTGGCTCACTCTGGCTGCCTTGGGGTCCTAAAGAAAGCATACAAGGACTCTTCTCATCCACCTCACAAAGGCCTTCTTAAAAGAAACTCTGTGAGATGATTGCATGTTGCTGTCTATAGGGGAATATTTGTTTCTAGATTTAGATAGATCAGTCAACAGTGAAGAGGAACTCATAGCACAGGTCATGATGTAAGCAAGCACTGCTGTAGGTTATAAGCTATACAAGCTCATGTTGGCTGTAATGCTTGGAAATTATAGCTGCTATAGATAATGGTGTGAGCTAAATGAAAAGGTGTAAATTTAAAGGTGTAAATTTAAAGGTGTAAGCCTAAAATCCTGGTAGTCTGGTTCTGCTAGAAATATTCATTTAGATGGCCTTTCAGGATCACCTTCCTGCCTGGGACCGGGGTCACTGGAACACCAAGTTGGACAGATGAAATCTTAATCTCAGATGAGAGAGCCTTGTATTTTGGGGAATGCCTTGTGTAAACCAAGAAGTCTAGAAGCAGTTCTCTTCATGAAGGCTGCTCCTGTGACCACATGCAGTCCCAGAGAGACAGTTAAACACAGCCCTCCTCCAAAGAGGCTGAATAATAGAAAGATCTTAAGTTTTCTGCAAAATGTTATTATGACAAAAGGTTTCATTTAGTCTGGAGGCATCTGTCTGTACATGCAGGACATGCAAGCAGCTGCAACACAAGGGGCATCTGTGTGGTGTTGTACAGGTATTGTACAGTTAATATCTTGTGTATATATGAGTGTTTTGCACAGAAAAGATTCGTTTGTCATGCTTGAGTTCATAGAGTCCAATGGTTCAGGTTCCTAAATGCCAGGGTTTGGTTTGCTTTAACTTTAAAGGATTTCATCACTTTTTCCACGGAAAATGAAAATATTAAGCTCCACCCTTTATTTGCTTGCAAATGGTATTTCTTTGCTTAAAATAATCTGCACTGGTGTTGATGTCTTCCTCCCTGTTCTATCAGCAGTAGATTTTTATTTGGATTTCCACAGTTCAATTTGCTGTTGTGTGTAAACACAACATGCTGGTGGCTGTGTGAGGACCGGCTGGAGTGGCATGGGTGTGTGGTGAACCATGGCCTGTTGGGTCGCTCAAGGTGGTGAAAGAATAGCTGAGTGTGTAGAAAGGGGAAAGTGAATGGAAAGTGAATCACAGCTAGGGGAAGGTGACAGCTACAGTCACCATAGTAATAAGCTGTGGATTGAACTTCACCTGAACTGAAAACTGGTTTGAACAGTTGTTGGGCATTTCACTCTCCTTTATGTGTTTTGTGCCTCCCCTCCCCTTGTTAAACTCAATGCAGAGCTAGACTGGAAGAGCTTCAATCCCAGTGGGATCTGAAACAGAAATGAAATCTTGCCTTGATCCTCTGCTAATAACATTGGAAAGCTTTTTCAGATGCTTTGCAACCCTTTTCATTGCCTATTTAACTGTTTGATGTACAGAAGAGAACTAGATATACACAGAGCACACCCATGTGGCCATGGAGGGGTTAAATGCTATTTAAGAATTGTTTTAAGGGAGGGGGGGAAGGTTTGTAATTGTAGTGAAGTATTTTTGGAATTTGCCCTGTCAGTTAGTAATATTTCACTAATTAAAGCAACCCTTTGTTTAAACCAGGCTGACAACAGCTCGTCTGGAGAGTTGGCTGGTGGACAAACCGAGGTATGTTCGTTCCGCAGCAATTCAACCCATTTTATATACTGATGTTTCTTAAGTAATGCTTTTAACTTGGAAGAAGGTAATCACATCTGTGAATTCCTTGTGGTTTCTCTGCTGCTGAGGGTTGCATCCTGTAAACAGTTTTATTGCCTTAAAGCCTTACGTGTAATGAAAATGAACAAATAAAACAAGCAAACAGCACTGGGCTCTTCATGGCTGGATGCAGCAGGGTTATTCGAACAGCAAAATTAAGGGATTATAAATTGTTGCTGGAAAAACATTAGCAAGAGGCAACTTTTTTTCCCCTTACTCTTGTGTATGCTCTTGCTTGGGAGAGCAACATATGTACAGACTGCGGTTTGGTCAGTAAGGTTTTATGTGTTTGTGGAAAAATGGGTTCTCGTTTGGGAATCGTACATTTGCCATAAAGGAGAGGGAAAGGCCTACATTGATACATACTGTCAGGTTGAACAGTAAAAGCAGATTGAAAATTTTACAGGTTTTCCTGCCCTGCACAGCATTATATGAAGAAACTCACATAATACTAAAAAGCCAATGCACAAACCTTGAATAGCTTACTGTATGCTTATGGGTTGGATTTGCCCAATGGCATATCACTGACTGCTCTTAGTTCCTTGGTTTTGTCAAATGGCTTGCTGCTTGTATAGAAGCCTGCTTTGCCAGATGAAAGATCCTGGAAGAGTGAAAACTCTGACTGTCCTGGCATTAAGAGTGAAATCTGTTGAGTGATGACTAACTGCTGACTAATACTTTTGGCTACACTAAGACTTCATAGCTTCCTTTTGAAAGGTTACATCTTCATTAATAGGTGTTCAGAGATAAACCTCAAGTCTTGAAAAACAGTATTTGTCTTTTCTCTTTACATCATTTATGAAAATACCAGCCAACAGATCTGCCTTGTCAACAGATCTGCCTTGTCAACAGGTCTGCCAATGAACATGTCAAGGCAGTGAAGACAGTTCAGCCGTTTGATTTGATTTGGGTAGCAATATTGGTGTACTGCATGAAGTACTCTGTAATAATGAAGAACATACTGGAACAATTTGATGTCAGCACCAGGATGAGCCTTTGAAATGAGCGTTCTCTGGTCTCACTTGTATTTTGTTGCACATTCTTGTGAGATTATTTCAGCTTTTGGCAAGAGTATCATGGGACTGTTAGTCCTGTGAATTGCTGTGATCTAGAAATTTGTTTTATTTGAATAATCTGTTCTAGGAATGTTTTCTTTTATTCTGAGGGGCAGAGGGAGCAGCAACTGTTATAAGAACGAATTAAATCCTCTGAAAGTGCAAGAAAAGAGGTAAAACTACGTAAGAATAAACATTATCAAGGCTTTAAAGGAAACTGTTGTTCAAGAGAAGGGGGAGAGAACAGAGTACTTCTGCAGTGTGCTAATATGAGTGTACCCTTGGTGGAACAGAGGAATGGAAACTGAAGAACCCTAATGAGATCTGAGAGTATTTGGTAAGAAGAGTAAGGGCTTGCAGACCTTCCCGGTTGTTAGAAGGAAGAACTTGGGGTTTTGAATGGATTCTTTGGGCCTTTAAAAAGGGTCATGAGGGTCAAGTTCAAAGTTTTTCTTTATTCACTGTGATAAGAGATCCCGATTTTAGTGCCAGGAAAAAAACTGGGGTAGTTATTTAGAAATTTAAAGTGAATAGTTATTTTGAGCTACAAGGAAGGTCAGTTAAGTAACAGTTGTGTTTCATGTTATTGTTTTTCTCAACATAATAGTTCAACTATTTGTCCTTGGGTGAGTGAGCAAGTTAATCAGCTACAGAGCAGGCACTGTATAATAACTTTATAAATGCCTGTTGCGTTTTATTTCCATTTCCACAAGAGCTTTGGATCTTGTAGCTGAATGTGATCCTTGTGCTTAAGCTATTTTATGTTATCCTGGCTCATTCACATAGCAGAGGAGAGGAACTGAAGTTCCAATCCACAGTCCAGTAGCAACAGATCTTCTGCCTACGTGGGAGCACACAAAGCTCCCAGTTAGTAGCAGACTGCACTAATCGGTGACCAGAGTTGATGGCATTTATCAAGATGGATATTTTATTGTGTTCCTGGTAGAGGTTAACTTTAGAAGGGAAATAGCTAATCGGGAATGTGGAGACTGTTCAGATAGGCAGTCAGTGGTGTTACCCTACCTCTAGGTTGTAACTGAAGTGACTTTGAGAATGGTTGCAGTAATAAGGTGGAGGTAAGGGCAACTTAATTCAGGGGGTTTTAGGCATAAAATCTGTGGCTCAGCAGAAGTGGGTATAACTCCAGTGTTGAGCTTACTATAGAAGCATTCTTTTAACACAGCATGGGATGCTTTACTGTTGGACTATTCTTACTCTCATTGCTGCAAGAAATGTTCACATCAGAATGTGAACTGAGCATTATATAATTCAACACATTTACTGTGAGATCTCCTCTCAAATAAAGGCAATGCTTAAATCTAACATGGCAAGGGCTTTCTCCCTGTGTATGGCAAAGTGAGTCTGCATCTTGTGTTAGGGATGTCTGCCAGATCTTGACAGCCTGGTTTCTATAGTACTGACTCAGGTACCAAAGAGAGAAGGAGGTGGAAGCAGTGCGGGGGGCAGAATAGGAGCCTTATTTTGCTGTTTGCCAGTGAGACATATATCTGTTGCAGTCAGGCTAACCTTGATTCCTCCTTTTAAATAGCTGTGCATCATGAAAGTGGTGGTGTAGTATGAATGCTAATTTTATCCAGGAAGTTTTGACACTGTTTCTTGTGTGGTGTGGTTTTCTTTGAGTGGTGGTTTTGTGTGTGTGTCTTGTTCTTCAGTAAAAAATACAAACCTGTCTAGTCCTAGCATTTGCTCTCTCTAAGTCTGCTGACTTGCCTGTTAGGTGAGCGCAGACGCTACAAAATTGCTTGTGGTTACTTGCAGTAAGGGAATACGATTGAGACTTTCTGACTTAGTATGTTGTTATCACATGAGAAACACTCTAAGAGGTGTGTTCAGAGTGGTCTAAACAACTAATCTTGTCATAGCAGAGGAAAACCAACAGAAGGGATGCAAAATCCACGGTTGCGAGTAGAGTGTCTTTCATCAGATTGTATTCCCATTGACGCATACGACAGGACCACAGAGGAACATGAAGAAGAATACAAACCAAATGTCTAAGCACAAGTTGTCTGCTGTCCGATGAAATTACTGCAATTAAATCCTGGAGCAGGACTGTCGAGTAAACATTTCTGAGTTTTGGAGGTGCATTTACATTATCCTATACATTATTTATTGTAGAAGTCTGTATAATATTAGTTTTGTTTCTGTTTCCTGAAAAACAGTTGATTGTAACTTGATGAAAAATATGGCAAAGCTTAACTAAAATAGCAACAAAAAATGAAACTAGATGTTATGAAAGAAATGAAGTTCTGCCCAAAAGTACACAAAGAAGATCTTCATGTTCTTGATTGGGTTCTGCCTCACTTCTTAAATTACTGACTATAAAATTCTGTAAGCCAAAAACTTTGGGTCCTCAGGTTTAATGAAGTGCAGAAAATGTGCCTATTTTAAGTGGTTGTATAAAATGATACTGCTTTACATTACTGATTGGAGCAGTCTTCACCATACAATGAAAGATAACTTTATAAAATGAGGAAATACTCGCAGAGTACTGTTTCCTGTATGAGTTACTATCAGTAGTGCAGATGCTAACCTGTGTGGGATAGCATGTTTGACTAGAGCTGTTCACATACTGAGCCAGCAGTGTTTGAAATACCATTACTTCTGGCCTAGGGGAATAAATGGAAGGATGTCCTTTGCATTGGGAGCATAGGTGTTGAGTGAAGGTGTTCTGGCCACACATGCTGGTCTGCACTCTGTTCTCTGCTTACTGTAACTCTAGCCTCTCAAAGTATGCTGGATGGCTGTGTCAGTAGATCCCAAGAGCCACTGATAGCCTGGATCAAAATGAAGTAATTAAATAAGGGAATGTGTAGGGAGAGGAGGAAACCGAACTGAAGTTGCCATTTTTCCATCCTGCCGAATCACCTTTAATGAGATTTTCATGCAGACTTGTAAAGCATGTTGTTTTCTACATCTTGGAAGATTTAATGTAGTGATGTTACAGGAGGCAGATCCTGACACATGACTGATACTTCTCTGACACACTTTCTGTGTGTATGCTTCCTTAGTACAGCATCTGCTAAATGCACATGTGTATGAAGTGTGCAACTATCACCTTGCTCACCACTGGGTACTTCTAGCTAAGATGCTGACTTTCTGTGGAGGATGAGGGTAGGGGAAGGATGTCCATGTGAAAGGTGACAGTGCTGACAACAGTACTTGAATGAATTTGAGCATCTGTTAATGTAGCACACTTGCCTCAATCAAGATTGCAAGGGTAGGAGGGAATGCTGAAGCTGTGCAGCAGAAATTAGCCTGTATGGAATTGCTAAATTTGTTCACTGCATTATTGTTAATAATGTAACTATCATTTCTCAGTGACTGGCTTATTGACATGCATCTTCAACCTTCTCAGCTGGCAGTTGTCTGTCCTGGTTCTAGCATGGGTCTGGGCTCTTCTTCCTCCTTCAGAGGCCACAAAGATGGTCTGACGGCTGGAGCACCTCTTCTATGAATACAGGCTGAGTAGAGCTGGGCTTGCTCAGCCTGGAGAAGAGAAGGCTCCAGGAAGACCTGAAGGGGGGCCTACAAGAAATTTGGAGAGGGACTTTTTACAAGGGCATATAGTGACAGGACAAGGGGAATGGCTTTAAGTTGACAAGAGGTTAGATTTAGATGAGCTCTTAGGCAGAAGTTCTTCCCCTGTGAGGGTGCTGGGCACAGGGTGCCCAAAGAAGCTGTGGCTGCCCCATCCCTGGCAGTGTTCAAGGCCAGGTTGGATGGGGTTTGAAGCAACCTGCTCTAGTGGAAGGTGTCCCTGCCTGTGGCAGGAGGTTGGAACTGGATGAGCTTTAAGGTTCCTTCCAACCCAAACCATTCCCTGATTCTGCTCTC